AGAAGGAGTTGGTTGGGGGGTGTTGTACAATAAATACTAAATTAAAAAATAGTATTTTTAATTATTACGCCGACGTTTCAACCCACCTTGCAGGTCTTTATCAGCGCTACAAAAAATACAAAATATAAAAGGTACATGGTGAAAATAAAATAAATGAATTATAAGTAGATATTAAATAAGAAACTATATCTCTGATGTCAACTTATTATTTCTTTATCAGACAACTGTTTCTTATTTAATATCTACTTATAATTCATTTATTTTATTTTCACCATGTACCTTTTATATTTTGTATCTTTTGTAGCGCTGATGAAGACCTGCAAGGTGGGTCGAAATGTTGTCGTAATAATTTAAAATACTATTTTTTAATTTAGTATTTATTTGACCGCATCCCCCAAACAACTCATCATATTATATCACAGTCAACCATCTCACCATCATTGTAAAATATAAATGTATAAGTATAAACTTTGCCTATTGCAGCTAAATTATTATTAGTTATAACGCTTTTTAAGATAAACAATTATAAAATAAAAGTTCTAAGGAACTTGTTTGCAATGAAGTTTTAGGTTTGTGGTAAAAGTTTAACTTTTATTCATTTACACTTTTATACATAGGTGCAAGACTTCAGGGGGGGGGGAGGAAGGGAGAGGGGATGGTCATCTCCCCAAAACAAAAATGTTAGAGGGCAAGAATATCATTTTGCTCCCCCAAGAAATTGAAATAAAGTGATAACAAATAAGCTACATGAATGAATAAAATATGTAAACTAAAGTCAGTTAAGATTATAAGAAAAAGCGACCTCCATGCTAGGCTAAGCTCTATAAGTAGGTACGTAACTATTTTATCACAACCTAAATATTCCTATTATTTAAATTTTCATTCATATTCAGTAATAATAATATAGAAAACATCGTTGTATTTTATGATTCATTCACCTTTCATGTGGACACTTCCATTTTCATGTGATTTTCTTATAAATTTTTCTGTGATGAAGTTAAAAAATATATTTAATAAGTTCAAGCATAAATATATCATATAGGAAATGTTGTTGCAGACATTTTTACAAAACTAGTCAGACTGTGAAAACATTTTATAATTTTTTCTTTTTTTGGAGGTTGTACAAACAAAGAAATCAAAAGTACTTTCCAGTTTTTAACATTATTCATTTTTAATAGAAAAAGTTCTAATAATGTTCCTACGTTATGGAGGCTGTCCCATTTTAATAATATTATATTATTAAATACTAGTTGGCCTGTGCGAATAATTCGCAGGCAATTTTGTTTAGTGAAGGAATAGCAAAACAATTTGGAAATAAATGGATTCTATGTATTATGTGAGGGAGGAATTAATTGTTTTTTCTGGGTTGATTACAATATTCCATTTAACATAATAAACTGAAATATTTGTACAAATTACTTTGCTAGAGCCTATTTCTAAACGCTAACTGGAAAGGAAAAATCCAAAATACAGTCTTAATCATAGGATTTTCTAGATTTTTAAAAAATATAAAATGTACAAAGAAAAAAATGCCTTTAAGAAATAATAAAGTATATATCAGCAAGGAAAAAAAAGTATTAGTGTAGTAAATGCAGTATCTTTAAAGAGGAAGAAATTATAAGTATACCAAAACAAATAGATTGTGTCTTTGTTAACAATTGTCCGATTTTTACAATTTTGTATTTGTTTTGTATAATTTAGTAATCTTTCTAATTATCATCGGTACAATCAAGAAAAAATGAATACTTTTTGAGTTATTCACAAATAAAGTTTATTTTCCTTCATAACTTTTTTTCTAGTCTGTGCCAATGCTTTCATATGAAATATTACATTAAATGAGAAATAAACAATAGATTGAATGCACCAGTTATGGAAAGGGGCCCCAGTGATGGACAGGTTGGACTTTAAATGTAAATAATAAGCTTCCATGTTGATCTAAAGGTTCCAGTTTTTTCTAGATTGCCCTCTATTGACATCTCTATGAACAAAGTTCCCAAAAGAAAAATTTTAAAATGTCTATCATTGTTGTTTCTATAGTACTCTTGAAATCAATGTGTTTCATACCTCCCTACTAACAGTTTTGCTAAGAGTAAGTTGAACATTTATCTTTATAGTTAAAAAAAAGATTTAAGAATTATTCTGAGGTATGTCTATTACTGGTACTGAGCCTCCCTGTATATTAGAACAATTGAATTTCTTGCTGTCCATCACTAATGCAAAAAGTTGTTTTTTTTAATGGAAATCATACTTACATAACTGAATATTTTTTCTAGGCGCGCTTACCTTAATTGGTCTTTGACTACACTTATTATTTACCTTAAATGAAATTATTTGATTCTAATATGTCATTTGTTTGAATAGGTAAGAATAAAAATCATTTTTTATGTATATACGTTTTAACAAAATGAGTTACATCAACAGAACTTTTAATTTTTTTTTTTTTTTTTAAATGCCAGCTATACTGAAACTGATTAAAAATAAGTGTTAGAATTTCATTTCAAGCTTTGGTAAAAAGTGTTGTAATAAATTTAATATATACTGAGGAAAATAAATTTGAATTTTTACTACTAGTAGTTTAAGATGTTCCTTGATGTACATACAACCAATGAGAATCAACATTATTTAAATAACCATCAGGTTACTTAATTACTACCGCGGTAATTTTTAAAATACTAACATGATTTGTTCTTTTAGTACTTTATTCAAATTGAGATTTAACGAAAAAGCATTCTTTGAGAGAATGGGCCAGTTCCAAAGATCAGTGTTTAATTCAGGATAGAGATGGATTTAATGTCATCAATGAGCTCAGCGCTAAGTTTAAGAACTTCTTACAGATTAAATAAATATAGCTCAAAAATATCTTACCTCCTAACCAATGCAGTTAAATTCTTTTGTACATCATAATGTTAGATGCAGAAAAGTATACATTAAATGATGAATGTTTTGAGGAAATAGTCATGGTACATGCACCAACGGTAAACTGTTAAAAGAAAAGTTTAAAATATCATTCAGACATATAAAGATTTATATAATTATAAAAAAGTAAATATTCATTCTCAGAATCAATAATATATTAATGATAATAGATATTCAATGTCTTAAAAACTCAATATGAATATTTAATAATATAAAAATATCTTTAAATAATATAGCTTTCATATTGACCATTTTTCTATTTATCTGTAAAACTATGTATGATTTTTTGCAAAGTAATAAGTACCATGTTTTACAATTTATAATTCTTAATATCAAACAAAAATGTTAATTTTATTTAAAACATAATTGCAAATGATATGTTTCATATATAATGAATAATCTTTAATTTTATTACTTGTATTTTTCGAATTATCCATCACTAAGATTCACTTAACTGAAATAATGTCTACCAACTGCTCTATTTTTTCTTCTGGAATAAAAAAAATTAATTTCAAGAAATGTTTCTTAATGCATTATCTAACTTTATAATGTTTTATAGTGAATTTATAATGTTTATTTGTCTTATAGTTTTAGGAAATAGTTTTTAAGTATTTAAGAAACAATATTTCTCTACAATTCAACCGCCAAGACTGGTGGATATTTATGTTAGAATATGTATACTCAAGATTCCCCCCTCACTTCCACAACGGCCAAATTACAGCATTTTTTTTTTCACTATAAATAATATATATTTATATAAATGTATAATATAAATTTAAAATATATATAAAGATAATAGTCGATTTAAATGGTTCTGGAACATGATTATACCAGTGAAATCCCCCATATGACTATTAATATGAGAGCAATAATAGATATTTTTGTATTTATTTCGTGCTAAATAGAAATTAAAGTGAGGAATATTATTCTCTTTAATTTTTATTATAAATATGATTAGTCCGTGGTACAGACCCCTTTTTATTAAATAATCAACATCCATCTGAAACTTCGTAAATAGCTTTATCTCATCGTAACCTACAATTATTTTATTTGCAAAAATTGGGGCGTTATCAATCTGGAGATTGTAAAACTTTGTCTATTTAATTAGGTACTAAAAACTCGTAAATACCCATTTGCTTTCCATCTAAATCAGAAAATAATTTGAGCACAGACTTGAGAAAAAAAGTGGCCTTTGGCGTGACCTACACCCCTAAAATGTGAAAATAATCAGGTTGTATAGGTCAAACGGCCAATATTTTTGTAGGCCACCTTTTTTCTCGATTTTGTGATCATATTATCTTACGATCCAAGTGAAAAGCCAATGGGTATATACGAGTTTTTAGTGCCTAATTAAATAAACAAAGTTTGCCGACCTCTAGATTGAAAACGCCGCAATTCAAAGATTTTTAATAAATAAAATAGTTGTAGGTTATGATGAGATGAAGTTATTTACGAAATTTCAAGTGGATGTTAATAATTCGATAAAAAGGGGTCTGTATCACGGACTAGATGGCTAAAATACAAAAAATAAAACTTCTGGTTGTGGTTGAAGAAACTATTCTTAATCTATATTTCATCGACTCATTTAAAATTATTAAATCCAGGAGTCCACAAACTTAATTAGAAATTCTATTTCATCATAAAAAACTTATAATAACAATAACGATTTTTTGAACTTTTGTTTGGTGAGTTTTGAATGAGAAACAGAAATTTTTTTGACGAATGAAAATTTCGAATTTTGAACCGATATGCGCCCCTTCCTTACAAGTGTTAACATCAATTACTTTTTCAAATTCTTATAAATTATAATCAATAAAATGTTGTTGATTTAAATTATGTAGATATCTAATGATGTCTTTAATAATCTAAATGTATGATTTCTTTTCAAACAAGGTTCTAGGTAAGTTCTGACTATTTATACAATATTTATAAATGATTCGAAAAATATTGGTTTAATAATAATGAATTATAAATATCATTCGTGATTATTTGCTAAGATTTAATTTATGTTGAATAAATTTCGGAAAGTGATTAACTCTATTGTGAAAACGTTGATACTGTTGTATCTGCGAAAGGTTATAATTCGGAAGGTTAAGTAGTAAACAATCTATTTTAGATTTTAGGTTTAGTGAAAATATTTGAACAATTTTCAAGATGACAACTGCAATGGAAGTTGATGATTCTAATAAAAATGTTATGGCATCTTCCAACGCCGTTGGGAGTGTTTCATTGTCTCTTCATCCTCTTGTTCTGATGAATATTTCTGAGCATTGGACCAGGATAAGAGCTCAGGAGGGTTCAGCACAGCAAGGTTTGAAGAAATATTTATTTCCATTAATTAATCAGCCAAATTAATTTAATTTTAGTTTTGTGTTTTGTTCAATATATTTTTTCTTTTGAAGTTATCGGAGCTCTTATTGGAAAACAGAAAGGAAGGAATATTGAACTGATGAATTCTTTCGAACTTATGTTTACACGTATTGATGGTGACATCATTATCGACAGAGAATATTACAACACAAAGGAAGAGCAATGTAAGAATGAGTGGTAACTAAATGTTTTAAAGTTTATTAACATCATAAGTTATTTCCGTTTACTTAGGTTTTTAGAAGTTATTAGTTTCATGTTTTAATTTAATAACATTTATCGGCACACATTTACGATAGTAAATCTGGAACCGTTCAATAGTATTTTAAACATTTTGTATCTGGAATTAATTTGAGATGACCGAACGTTTGGTAAGATGCTGACCACAACTGAAAAAGATCCTTTGGGGATTGTTGATCTCTTTTGGATCAGGAGAGGTTGATAATAGTGATGTAATTAGAGATATAGGAATGTTATAATTTGTGATCTAAATAATTAGAGGTTATATATAGCAAGGAACAGTTCTATACTCTGCCATTCTCGGAATTCCATTTATAATTTGAACTTAAGATTTTGTGTCCATCCATCAAAGCTTAACAAGATCTTGTGAATACCATGACCCTCCTTATATGCTAATATTTGGTTTTAGTATATAATAGCCCTGCTCAGGTTTTCCTTTTAGTAATTTGTATCAAAATCAACATGAAGCCATGACAATTTTAACAGTGCCTGAAATAAACTCATATATCAATTTTTTATTCCTTCCAATTAGATGCATTACTGTTCATTTATAAATATACTATTGCATATCTATGAAACGTTTTTAGAGTTTATGTCAATATTTATTGATTATAAGGTTTGTTATATTAAAGAACAATTCTTTAATGGACAATACGGTTTTGTCATAGGAGTATCAATAATTTAGTAATTTTAAATGTTGTTCTAGAGTGCTACCAATGGGTAGTTTCTCAACATGTGATTTCATGCTATTTTATTCCTTTGTTCACATTTACTGAATGTATTTTTACTTGTAATACAGTTGTAAATATCATCAATAAATAAAAATAAAAAAAATGTTCTTAAAAAAGAAGTATTTTGACATATTCTTTTAATACTTCTCTTCAAAGATAGTTGGTAGCTGTGATCTCTATAAATCTAAATGATCAATCAATAAAGGCATTAGTTTAGAAATTCAATATAAGTTGGATTCAAAATAATCCTTTTTTTTTTTCTGTTGTCATTACCGACCATGTAGATCTTTCTCCGCCTTAACAATAACCTGCTCTATCGCATCTTTGTTGATTCTATCTATCCATCTGCGTATTGGCCTTCTGCATGGTCTTTTGCCTTTATTGAGGGATTTATAATTTATGTAGAGGATTCCAGATGGATTGCTACGTGCAACACGCCCATCTCAGCCTCCGTGCCTTCATATTCTGGGATATTGATTGACCTGTTTCTGTAAGCAGTTCTTTATTGATCTTTCTTCTCAACGTGTTAGTACTCTGATCCCAGATCGCTCTGGTTATCTTGGGGAGGGTTTTTCTCTCAAATTTTTCAACACTTTTTTCTAGGGTGCTGGTTAGTGTCCAGGCCTCACAGCCATATATTAGAACTGGTCTTATTATAGTATTGTACACCCTTAATTGGAGATTTCTTGAAATTTTTCTGGATTTCAATACCTTTTAAAGGGAGAAGAATGCTCTTTTTGCGCTAGTTATATGCTGGTCTATTTCTGCCCATTGGTCATTCATTGAGGTTATTGTGGAGCCGAGGTATTTGAATTTTTCTACTCGGGAATGATTTTCCTTCTCACAGATCCTGTTATTGGGTTGGAAATGTTTGGCTTATTATCATATATTTTGTCAAAATGACACATAATTGAACCTAATATTACATTATATCAATATGACACTGTATCAGACCTTTGGGATCTTTTTTACTTTGCTACCACAAATTACTTCTCAATAAAAATATATGATTTTGGTTTAAATTGTTTTTAACTGTTACCGGTTTAATTATTTATTTTGTATGTTCTGGCATATTTAAATACTAAAAACAAAAGAAATAAATATGAATGTGGAATGCACAGAACCATGATAGGTTCTTACCTATGTGAATTTTTTTGGCCTTGAACGCATGTGAAAGATGAGTTCTTTGGAGTTATAATAGAAAATATAAGAAACTAATGGTCTCCATCATGAATAAATTTTTTTTTTTTGTTTACCTTTTATTGTTTATATGGATTTCAAATAAATACCTTTAATGTTATCAGTTTTATTTGTTCATGGTGAAAAAAAGTTTACCTATTTATTTATTTGAATATGAAGTTATAACTACGTGACGATAGTTATTAACAAGCATTTAAACAGTGACAAAGAAATCATACCTCTTTATTGAAAAGTGAGTTGCAGTAGCGAAGTAAAAAAGATCCCTCAGTCTTTGTTTCATATTGAAGCTTGTACAACCTCAAGTCTAGTTTTTTTTTTAGTCATAAAAATTATTTGACAACAATCTACTTAATTCATTAACTCAACATTTCAATTTACAGCTGTCATTTTGTTTATTCTGTTGAACAAGAATGTGTTCTATAATTGTTTATAGCTGATATGTATATGTATATATGTATATTTACTTTCACCATTTTACTTTTAGTCAAACAAGTATTCTCTGACCTCGATTTCTTGGGATGGTACACAACCGGAGATGCACCAGACGATAGCGATATTAAGATTCATCGGCAAATATGTGAAATAAACGAAAGTCCAGTTCTACTGAAACTTAATCCTCAAGCAAGACATAGCGATGTAAGCTATTTTCATGTTAATTAATTGCAAGGTTCAATATCTTACTAATGTTTTCGATTAATTGTTATTTTATTTGTTCATCATTAGCTGCCAGTAACGTGCTATGAGTCCGTTATTGATCTTGTCGATGGAGAAGCTACAATGTTATTTGTTGAGCTTCATTACACTCTCGCTACAGAGGAAGCTGAAAGAATTGGAGTCGACCATGTCGCCAGAGTGTCAAACAATGATGCAACTGAAAGTTCATTAGGTAACTTCTTTATCATTAATAAGGATTTTATGATTCATTCCGACATGCACCATTTCATTATCAAGTGATGTTCTTTTTACTTTCTCCTGCGGTAAATTGAACAACATAGGTGACTCCTATTTTCCTGCCATAAGCCAGTTTGAACTTTGACAGCTTCAGTTCTAGAATTTTTTATTTTTATTTGCGTATTTCTTGCTTTATATCATACTATTTCTTTCCTAACGTCTGCGTCCAGTCTCCAGTTGTCCTCAATGGTTTGAAATCTTTCTTTGAGAATTTCCTTTTTTGCTGATCTTATAATTTTGTTTGCCTTTTTCTTCACGGCTATTATATAATATTCTAGAATAGCTTGATCACTTTGGCTAAACAGAGGACTTACATTTTTCATCTTTTGTCTACTGCCGTTTCGCATGCTTCTCTGAACCATTGCTTTCCTTTCTTTTTTCCTGAATACGTATCACTTCTTTAGATGTTTCTTTTAGCTCTGTTTCTATTACCTTCTTCTAGCGTTGATCCACCATAAGTCTCTACGAGTCAAGAGTTCAGGATTTTTTCATTTCTGACTTAGTTTAATTCGAATCACAGTCTGCTCCACGATAGCTTCTTACATATTGTATTTAACTCTGATGTCTCTTGTCTATCAGCACATGATAAATTTCGTTTTTCACTCTTTTCGGGCTTAGCCAGGTGTACTCGTGGATATCTTAGTGCAAGAATATTATATATTGCTGACGACTAGACCTGTAGCTGATACATCTCACTCCATTATCATTACTATTTTCTTGAAGGCTTTGTCCTCCAATAATGGGCCTGGGGTTCTCGTTCCATTTTGCCATGGAAGTCACCTATGACTAATTTTATGTCATGTGTATGAGCTTGGTCCACAATATTTTCTAACTGATCACAGAAATCATCCTGGTAAATCAAAGACCTATAACTCATAATGCACTAATTCTTTTGCTAATCGGGATGAAGTTTATGATTGTTTGCTTGCTGCTAGACGTAACTTTAAATCCGGTACAGGTTCATTTCCCTGTGAATTTCTGGATGGACATTACAGTCCCTGTGCAGGAATTGAACCCTTATTTTATTGTTTTTAATTATTTATTATTATTTTTTCTTCTCAAAAGTAGAATCACTGATTGTTAGTACTGACAGGTGTGGGTGAAGAAATGAAGTTTAAAAAAAAAAAACAATTATTTTTTATCTTATGTTATAGAATCCCGCGAACAGGATTTCAACTCATTACTTTATTACACTATAGAGTATAAATTAATTTAAAACTTGATTTGCATCAATTTTATAATATAAATTTTTTTATTTGTACCTCAGACTCTAGTTAGACAAACGACTTACCCGGAACATATATACTAAATTAAAAAGACGATAACTTATAAATAAAAAGACTAGGTGTAAGATATAACCAACTCTCACATCTTCTGGATTACAAATCCCCTCACTTAACTTACGAAACAAGCTACAGATCTACAACACTATACTCAGACCAATTTGGACATACGTAATAGAACTTTGGGATTAGGCAAAACAAACACACATGAATAAAATACAACCAAACAATCAAAAATACTACGAAACATTGTCAATGCACCTTGATACATTTTGAATAACACTATACACAACGACTTTAACATCCTAACAGTAAAATCCTACATCCACTACAAATACAGTTGATTTTATTCTTCAACTCTAAATCACATCAATCCATTAGTCCTTTCTATTTCCTGCTCCCTGTTACCTGATGGATGCAGACTGAAAAGAAAATGGCCAAGGGACCTACTCCTACATTAACAAGGGGAAAAAAGTAATAATAATCAAGCAAATTTGCAGCTACTGTCACATCAGATTTGCTAGATGCGCTGCAGCGTAGGTGCAAATTTCATAAAATGTCAAAATAAATTTTTTAGTCATAAAGTTTCTCTTAATTATAATTTAAATCAGTTTAAAGGAGAGATGTTAATGCTTTATTTTTTCTTAATGTGATTGTACATTTCTTCGTCCATATTAGTTTTTTAATTAATATTTTATATTAAAATGTTTTCAGTTGCTGAACACTTAAGTGCGCAACATTCTGCTATCAAAATGCTCCATTCCCGAGTTAAGCTTGTATTGGAATACCTTCGTGGAGTCGAGACTGGGCAGTTACCAAGAAATCATGAAATATTGAGGAGTGTATATTCTCTTAGCCATCGCCTTCCTGTCGTTCAAGGCCAATATTTTCATCAGGAATTTTATAATGTAAGTTGATTTTTACAATAATTTTTTTTGTTAAGTCTATCAAGAATCGAACAAAAAATCAATCAATCAAGAAATCGGTTAATTTATCTTTAATTTATCTTGGATCTGATGGGTTATGAATGCCTTCTTGCTAGTCCCTTATAAAATTTGCTTGATTTAATGTATGTTGTTAAAAGTTCTATTCATAGCAATTATTTTATTTTTAAGATGTAAAATTATTAAGGTAAAAGGTTAATATGTACTGTGCTGACTGTCAGGATCAGGTTAAGACTGCGGATATTGAATGAAAGAATGTAGACATCGATTGGTGTTATAAGCATCAAATTCGAGTTCACTAAGCCTTACTATTATGAATGAATGATTTATTGCATATAAAAAGCAATTTACATCAAGGAGTCTTATTATTACAGAGGAAGCTTTATTATTATTATAATTGTTGAAGAATTCTTTTTTTAGCATAAAAGAAATTTATAATGAAAATATTTTTTTTATTATCCTGGGACTGTTGTCCTGTTAGGACAAATTACAGTTACAGAATAAATGCCTGTGTGGCCATTCATAAAATTAATTATTTACAATTCTCATTAAAATTAAGATTTTGGAAAAAGAGTAAAACTAAAATAGAACGATTACGCTAAAAATATACTGATATGTATAATACAAACGTGGCAAATAGCATAAGTAAAGAAAATCATTTCTGGGGAAACTTTAAAAGTTCTCTTATCTACATTTCAAGATCAATCGGGTTGGGAAAGTAGTAAGTGGTTAAAAAGGAGAGATTTAAATGAGGAAACTGATTGTACAAGTCGGATATCGTGAGGGATGGTATTTCAGAAGGAGACGGCTTGAATTATAAAGGATTTGTCAAATTATAAAGCAGTTAAAAATACTTTAATCCTCACAATAAAAAATATTAAGATTAACTTACAGAGTTCTACGTACCTCTGGTTAAAGATCACTTTTGGATTTCAAGATCATGATAAACTATATTTTTATTATTAAATTTTTTCCTTAAATTTCTATTTCTGATAACACAGAATTTGGTGGAAATGGCTCCAGGCAAATTTCAGCAGTGTCAGTACTGCAAATTTTTGTTAAACGACTATCTTAGTCTCAAGAAAATACAATAGACCAGCTACAAATTTTCATTTATTTTAGAACTGTTAATAAGCATGAAATAAATTTTAAGGATTATCATAAATGGTTCTTAACATTAAAAGAATATTAATTAATTTTATAATATACTAGCTTTACCCGGCCACGTGTTGCTGTGGCTTAGCCAAAATGAAAATAGAAAGCACATAGGAGTAGATTAATAGCAAAGGACATCTGTCATTTTTAAAAAGTTGGGAAACAAATTTGTCTGTAAAATGGCTTCAATTTAAACTAATTCTAATGATTTTTTTTCTCATGATTCAAATTGGACATTCATAATCATCTGAGTGAATACGCCTTCATTCATAATCATCAGAAACAGTTTGAGTTGAACTTATAAAAGTAAAATAAAAAATTAATATAAAGAACGTATAATAGTATTGACCTACATAAGGAGAATCATATAACTTCTTCAAATGATAATTTCAATTACTGTAGTAATCATAAAATGTTTGATTAATCAATAAAAACAAAAAAAAAAAATACTTGCCGACCTTGGTTAGTGAGGAAGCAAAAGGAAATGGCCTTTTCTGAAGAGAAAGCAGTAAACGTTTAAAACTCTATAACTCTGCAACGAACCGTCCGATTTCGATGATTTTGTTTTTTATTTTGTCAGTAATTCAGAAATCTTTCATATAAATATGGGTATTATCTGTCAAAAATTGTGTACTTTTTTAGTTATCGTCAAATAAAATATTGAATTCATCGTAACACTTTTCAGCTTGTTTTCGGGAAAGCGTGTTATACACATAAATTAAAAGGGTTTCAAGGGGAAGACTTTAGCCAAGTTTCGTTAAAATCGGTAAAGCCGTTTTGGCGCTACAGTTTATAGCGACACATTTTTTGCGGCTTTGAACAGAAAAAATTTACATTTTTATTTTTTTTACATATATAAAATTATCGTAAGACAGAAGTACTATGCCAGAAACCTTCCCAGGAGTGTACGGAACAACTTCCCAAAGTTTCATGGGGATCGGATGAATGGTTCAGTAACGCATAAAGGACTAACAGACAGACATACATTCATTTTTATATATATAGATTACTAGTAGATAATTTATAAGTTTATAACATTGTTTATGTTTCAGCAATGTAACGATGTTGGTCTGATGACCTACCTCGGAATCATTACAAAAGGTTGCAACGATATGAACCAGCTAGTGAACAAATTCAACTTGCTCTACGACAGGCAGGCTAGCTTCGGAAGAAGGCTCAAGGTTATTCTGTAAATATTGTCTCTTAAAGAAAAATAAAAAAGAAGAAAAAATTTCCTATAATATATTAAGAATTGTAAATATATATACATAATTATTTCAAAACTGTTCTAATAAAATTTCTTCAGTCTTTATCAATGTGTCCTCTTTTTTTTACCACCTAAACTTTATGAGATATAATATATAAGAGAAATAATTTGATTATTAAATTTTAGTTTTAAAGATAATATTAATAATTCTAACTTATTCTTTATTGTCATAATAATATTGTAGAAATAGGGGTGCCATCGGATGATAATCTTCACAAGCTGGTTGCAGAAAAAAATTTGCAAATATCAAGATCTTGGTGAGGAGCTCAAGCAATTGTATAAACTTGATAAAGTGAGGGTTTTGCCGCTGGTCATCTCTGCAAATGGTCTGATTCCGGACATAACACTGGGCTCCATGAAGGAATTAGGCCTTTCGATGAATTGTTTGGAGCTGATAAAGAAAGTTCGAAAATTTATGAATACAACAGATTAATTTGTTTAGCTTATCCTTGACTTAAGTCGGGATAATGTGCTGTAACCAGCTAATGTGCAACAAAGGATTTCCTAAACATAATAATAATTGTGGTTGTACTGCTTAGAAATGTGAGGAGTCTTTCTGTAGGAGGAGGAAGGTTACAATATGCATGAAAAATAAAAAATGTATAAGGAAATATTAACCTACTGAATTATTGAGTTTCATAACAGAAGTAAATTGAGTTATATCGAGCAGCTCCATCGACTCTGAAAGGCTGATGGAAATGCTAAATTACATTAAAGAGTTTAGGAATGGCCTGATGGGTTTCCAATACCCATCAATGAGCTCAGCGCTGAGTTTAGGAACTTGCCATAGATGATCAAACCAACTTAAAAAGTTCTTTTCAATACATTTTTTAAAATAAAATAGTGATCACTAGTTATATCGTAATTCAATTTCTTCTGACTTTTGCTACTATTTTCTTGAGGAATCTAATTTTTGTAGCTTGTATTCTACTTTAATGTTTTTTATTCTAACGATATTCAGAGTAGGTTAATTTTAGTTGGAATTTATAGACTAAATTGATCTCGGAGAGTTTCCTTTTATTTGAGAAGTTTCTATTCAAGTTTGTTCAAAAAGTAATTAGGATTCATTACTCTCGAGTTTAACTTTGAAGTCTTGAAATGTGCCTTTATTATGGGAGGATAAGATCAAAGAAAACTGAAGCAATGAATCAATTTGTGACAGTTACCTCTATAATTGTAAGGTCATCAAAATTTTTTTAAAAAAATAAAATAAAACAATATGTAAAAGATATGAAAGACAGGTCAGAAGGTATTTTTTAGCATCTACTTGATGAAATAATGAGAACAAATTTTAATGAAATTCAAATTCCAGTATTTTACATTTTTTTTTTTTTTTAACTATGCTGTTCATATACACACAGACCTTTTTTCAATACTTAGCTATTTGAGCTGAAGATATCGTTAAATGTATATTTCTATGAAACCTCGGTTTTAAACATTTTTCACAATAACATTATTTCTCTTACTTATATCTCATTTATGGGCGGGTGAAAGCATTAGCAGATCCAGGATTTTAATTTTGGAGAGGGCTTTTTTTTACATACATAGAAAATCTCTATATCTTTTTGTATCTTGTCCATTCTAACCCTGAAGAAGACCTGCAGTCGGGTCGAAATGTTGGCTTTTAATAAAATAGTTTTGCCACTAATTAGCCTTTTTATGACTGCCACACCGGACCATCTCCTTCCTTTAAAAGTTCTTTGAAATTTTAATTTAAAAATCTAATCCTATATATTATTTCCTATATATTATTTCTATTACGCCATAACTTCATCCAATCCAATGATTGACCACTCATTTTGAAGATATTCTTTTCCTTCACATGCGATAAATAGTCCTATTCTCCTAAAATTTCTGGGGAAAAAGTTATGAAGGAAAAGAAACTTTATTTGGGAATAACTAAAAAATTACGCATTTTTTTCTTGAGTGTACCCATGATAATTAGAAAGATTACTAAATCACCTACAATACCAAACAAAATTGTAAACATCAGACAATTATTAACAAAGATACAGTCCCTTAGTTTTGGTATACTTAATGTCTTTCTGTTTAAAGATATTGCATTTAGGAGTAGAATAGTCTACTACACTTTTTTTCCTGGCTGATATATTAACTTTATTATTTCTTAAAGGCATTTAGTTGTTCTAACATTTTATTTTTTTTAATAATTTAGAAAATCCCATGATCAGGACATTATTTTGCCTTTATTACTTTCATTATCTTTACAGTCAGCGATTAAAAATAGATCCCAGCAAAGCAATTTGTACAAATATTTTGGTCTATTATATTTAAGGGAATACTGTAATCGACCAAGAAATAAGTATTAATTACTTGCTTACATAATACATAGGAACTACTTATTTCCATATTGTTTTGCTATTTCTTCACTACATAAAATTTCTCGCATGGGCGAACTAGTAAAATATAAGTTTTTACATATTTTACTGTCTAATAATTAAACTTGCTATTTCTTCAGCTTAAATGGTTGACATTTTGAACTATACAGTTCATCTTCGTTACCCGTTCATGTTTTCTAGCAATTATTAAAACATCTGTCAATTATTCTTACTTAAAATTCACTTGTTGCCATTTTATTTTCTGAAATATCCTGTGATATTCTCTGTTATTATTATTGGTCACTGTAAATAACATTATGACTTATTGCAACTATTCTATTTAAAAATGTATTTCAGACAGTCAATATTATTTAATAGTTATATTGACTCGTCTCAATTTTAACTAATAGTTGACAAATATTTTAATAATTAAAAAAAAAAACATGAAGATGAACAGTAGAATTTGAAATATATGACAATTGAGTTGAGAAAGTAACAAAGAAAAAGGATTTTACTTTATGATATTAAAATATATTTAAAAAATAGTTAAATCCATATAAACCTGGAAAAATAAACTTCATTTGCTTAAAATCTTTCTTTTTAAAAAAGTTTCACAAAATATTCCAGCCCTGTACAAAAACAGTTTCAACATAAAGTTTATACTATTTAGCAAGTAAGAAAATTGTATTAACAAGGTAAGTTAATAGCTAATGAAACCTGAAAAAAAAAATGAGAAAAATGAAAAAAAAAACAGCTGATAAAGCAATTTTAGGATGCTAATGCAGCATGTATTGTTTCTGATGGATGTTGTTAAAAAAACCGGTCCAATTGTGAAAAATTGGTGGCATTTATTTCATTCAATTTAATCAAAACTGAATTATTGGTTACATTTTTAATTATTTTTAAAAAATAAAAGTCTGATTGAACTGCATTTAACAGAATATAAGAAATAAACAGAAAAGAAATGTTCAATGGAAAACAAAAAAAAAATGGAAATGAAATATGACTTTTTTAAAATCACAATAGTTAATTTTTGATTAATCTCATAATGTAATACCAATATTTAGGGTTTGATAAAGTGTCGAATAAAATTAATATTATTACAAAAAATACATACTTAATTGAAAGCTTCCAGAAAGAAAACTTATTTATACTACATTATTCACCAGTCCACACTAGCGAATCCAGGATTTCATTTTTTAGGCTTCAGCCCGAAAGCTTTTTTTTCATATATATATAACGAAAAATACTTTGGAAAAAAAAGAAGGATACTAACCACATACATGAAATAGTGTTTAAGTCATTCTTAAAGTCCTATTAAATGTAATTACATGCACAATAACACTTCAAGAGATTATTTTATACCATAAAACATGGTTACATTTTACCATTTTGGGGGCTTCAGCCCGAAAATGTCCCTCCCTCTCTGCCTGTGCTAGCCCATAAGGTATGGTTAGAACATAAAAAAATATAAATCTTCAATGGGAAAATCGAAAAAAGAATAATTTTTTTTAAGTCACAGTAGTTAATTTTTGATCGATCTATTAATTTTTTTTTTTTTTAACACCATAGTTAATTTTTGATCGATCTATTAATTTTTTTTTTTTAACACCATAGTTAATTTTTGATCAATCTATTAATATAATAGCAATATTTTAGGTTAGATGACATTTAGAATAAAATTAGTTTTATGACAAAAAAAATAAAACATTGTATTTATATTACTGAAGTTACTTCACCGATAAATATAGTCGAAACATAATAAAATAGAAGAAATCTTTGATAGAAAATCAAACAAGAAAAAAAAAACATTGGAAATGGTAAATGATTTTTTTCAAGGAAGATGATCTGGGGTGGCAGTCATAAATAGACTAAATATTGGCAAAACAATTTTATTAAAAGCCAACGTTTCGACCAGACTTTGCAGGTCTTCTTCAGGGAAGTGTGTTCAGCAAAGTGTTTCACTTCAGAACAGAGTTCTAAGTTCCAACAATTCTAAGTAAAATTCCTTGCTGAATACATCTCCCTGAAGAAGGCCTGCAAAGTCGGGTCGAAAATTTGGCTTTTAATAAAATAGTTTTGTCACTATTTATGAGCGCCACCCTGGACCATCTCCTTCCTTAATAATACAACGGTCAACTATTAAGTATTCAATATAATATTTTTTTAAATAATTGTTAATGTTGATTAATTTATTTAATATAATAGCAAATATTACATTTATATTACTGAAGTCACCTGAAAATAGATATGGTCAAAAAATCATAAAATAGAAGAAATGGAAAACCAAACTAAAAAAAAGATTAGAAATTGAACATAACTTTTTTTTAAAAATCATAAAAGTTAATTTTGATCAATCTATTAAAATTAATAGCAATATTTAGGGTTGAAGTAGAAGTTAGTATGGCATGTAGAAAAAAAATAAGGTTTGTAACATAAAAGAAAATACTGTATTTATATTACTGGTCTATTAGAATTTTTTTTTTAAATTGTAGTTAATTTAATTTAATCTATTAATATAAGAGCAATCAAAGAACAGCATCTTAGATGGATGGATGACGTAGCAGAAGATGCCCGGACGATCCTAGGAGTCAGAGACTGGAGTACTGCTGCCCAATGGCATGCAGACTGGCGGAAGTTATTGGAGAAGACCAGGAATCAATAATGGTCTGTCGAGCCAATGGAATAAAAATAAGGTTTATGAAATAAAAGAAAATTGTATTTATATTACTGGTCTATTAATTTTTTTAAATTGTAGTTAATTTAATTTAATCTATTGATATAAAAACAATATTTAGTGTTGGTTGACATGTAGATTAGAATTGATTTTGTAAAAAAATAAAAATTCTTATAAGAATTATTTAAATAATTCCAAAAATTAAACATTGACTGAAATTAAAAATTAAACGTTACTAAAAAAAAACATCAATGTATAGCTCTAAAGGATCCAGGATTTAATTTTTGGGAGAAAGGCTTCAGTCTGAAAGATTTTTTTTTATTTATATATCAGGATAATTACTTCAGAACAAAGAAAGAAACTAACTGCCTATATGAAATGGCGTTTACCTTTTTGGGAAGGCTTTAGCCCGAAAGCCTATCCCCTCCATAGATCTGCCTGTGATGTATAGTTCTAATGTTTTAAAACATAAGCCATAATATAACCCTCGATGCCACAAAAACTTTTGTGGTAAAAGAAGTTTCTATACCAATTTTCAATGCTATCAAATTTCATTTTCTCATGACAAATATATTGTATTTTATCATGGAAAACAGTGTTAATATATTCAACATAAAGAAAAATGCTCATGAAAAAATCTTGATTATTTAAAGGTCATTTAAGCAATTGCATATAAATTTTGCTTAACTGGTCTAAGATTACCATCACTTTTTTAATTAAATGTTACAATTTATGCTATAGGAAATTACAGTTATTAAAGAGAAAAGTCTATACAGTATAATTTATATGTTTTTAAAAACCTTAAATGTATTTAAAACTATTTTTTTGGTTTTATAATTCAAATCTAAATTGTAATCATGACTAGAAATACTTTTTTTGTTTGATTGTTTGGAAATGAAACCATTTAGTTTAATAATATTTTCAGTCAAAGATTCATAGATGATTACTTTTTAAAAATAATTGAGTGCGCAATTGATTTAATTTTAGGATGTGAAGAGATAAGAACTAAACAATTGTAACCTTCTTATCACTGACCTTATCCAAGCAGAATGACCTTCAAATGTTTACTATTTTATCATTTACTAACAAAAATAATGAAAGATACTTTTAAAAGGGCTTAAATTGGTTTATTTACAATTTATTATTCTAATTTATTATATTTAAGCTTTTAACCACCCATTATCAACTTAAAGATTCTTTAATAATATCTTCCATAATTTAACAATAAAATAAAGAAAAATGGAAAGAATGGCTTAGTATAAAAGTTTACAACTAGAAGGAAGAAAAATAGCCCAAGTTTTTAATACACTTAAAAAGAAAATCAATTGTAATTAATCATTTTTATAACTTCCACTCAAGAATTAATGTACTTGAAATAAAACATACTAAATAAGTAGTCTTGTAACTTTAACTAAATGAGATTAATTGACTGAACTGTGGGCTGAATTGACTATAATAATTAAGTTATAATAAATAAAGCTTTTAAAGTAATTTTTTAAAAATAAAATGACACAAGGATTAGGAATCATAAAAAATTAATGTCGGTGTATAGTATTTATTGACGTCATAGATTGAATCACTGCATACAGAGCTCTTCGTCATCTTAAAATAAAATATGTTTCGCATGTCGCCAAAAAAAATACTATACAAATGTCTTCTTTTTAAAACTACGTCTAAATCACAGAATCAAATTACTCGTACAGGTACGATATATATTCAATAGACTTTTCAAAAATAAAACAAAAACAATTAAAACTGTTTTTTTAATTAAAAAAAAACAAACATGACAAACTGAATGCATACAAGTAGAATTTGAAGTCAAGTGGGAATTTTCTCTAAATACATACATATTTATATTTATACATATCAAATTAAACAAATCGGCCTAATATCGTACAGTTACAGAGCGTAGAACCCATTAGATCAAAAGGAGAAAATAAATACCTCCTTTACATTACGGGTTGAAAATATCACAGCATTGTATAGTAATTTATATATAAAATTTCATTACTCACAACACACTATACTACACTCTTTTCGGCCTAAAATATAAAAAATACTTAAATCTAAAAAAAAAATTAATACAATATATACAATATTTTCCAAGGAAGAATCCTTGATCGACATTATACACAATCCCACATTTAAAGCTAAAATATTTACTTGTATGTATTTTATTGTCAATACTGATTTACATTCGGTGATCTAGACGCTGTTACATATTTACCTTAGGAAACCATGTCAACAAACGATTTCACATAAGCCTCATGAAGCTTATTTATGAAATCTGCATCATTCTTCAGAAGATAGGTCACTGCTTGCAGTAACTGACTTTTGGTTAATGGCTCAGGTTTTACGACCAGAGGTGTCTCTTCTTTCGCAGAGGCGAACATCACTGGAGGTATAAGGGCAGGTTTGGTAGGCGTCTCCATTGACTGTTCCAAAACACTTACTTCCAGCGGTTCTGAAGGGGAATGTGTAATGCCAGAATTGAAGAAATGCTGTGTTGATATGGAGGAAGGTGTATACCCCTGCGGTGGCGATTCCCCTAAATTAAGTAAATTCATACCGTTTTCAATCTTGGGGCTGTTATGAACGGGAAGTGTCAAAGGCCTCCTTTGGTTTTCTTTCTTCATTATTCCAGGTTTTGCTCTTATCTTTTGAATGTCTTGAGGCGAGCTTCTATGTTGTTTTTCCAACTGTTCAACAGTTATAGGATTAGGATTAGACATTAATCGCTGTAACAAAGGGTTGACTTCAGATAACTGCTTTTCTCTAGACATAGAAGGGAGTCCTGGTGGCGGAACTCTCATTCCTGGAGGTTGTGAAGGAGCTTTCGATCCTGCCCTAGCAAAGAAATCCATCACTCTTTTTGAAGTCCCATCAGGAGTTTCGGGCTGAGCTTTGTGCAAATCACTACCTTTCAATCTAGATTCCATCAAATTTTTAATATTAGTTACCTCTTTGACTAGTCTTTCAATAGTCTTTGCTATTCTTACACACTCATCGCGATCATAAAACCAAATACCATGAATTTCACTCCTCGAGTTTCTATACAAAAGAAAGGGTTCTTGTAATTGTATATCAATACTCTCGTCTACTGGCTCTACTAAATTTTCGGTATTGAGTCTATTTAATACTATAATGCTATACCTCGGATCACCGTTTCTGTTATATATGAACAGCGCACCTTCCGCATTAGTCTTTTCCCATTCGTATGTTTGGGCATTAAACTCGTAAAGTACTACGTGCGTAGCTGTGTCCACAATATCACCAACAAGCCTATCAATCAGCCTTATGGCCGACACATTCATAGAAACCTCAGCCGACTTCGCCATATTTAATCCTTAACACAATAAACGCAAACGGTCAATGCAGACAATATAGCCTAGCCATAGTCGCAATACCTTGCTGAATCAACAGATAGTAATTATTAATTCAACTCATATTTTAACTTAATATTAAATAATATATATATATAAAACAAATTTAAAATATTGAATTAATTATAATATATACATTTTTTCGACTATAAATGTTGAAATTAGTTTGTAACGGAAAACTAAAATTTTGTTATGGAAAACTTCAAATTAATCACCACAATAATTTGTCAGATTCCTAAATAAAATTATGCTTTCAAACTCACTTTATATACTTTTAATAAATAACTGACGAAGCTTTTAATTAAACAGCTGACATCTTTCAATTCCGCTGCTCACTCGTAGTGGGATTAAATTATTTGAATTATCTTTATTTATGTGTAAGTCCTCCATACTTTGAATTAAACTATACTTACCCAAACAAATTATTAAAACCATTTAATTATATAAATTGTTATAATGAAATAAAATAGTGAAAAAAATAAACAACGAAAATATAATTTTTAAAATTTATACTCAATACGTTATTCACTTAAATATATGCCTATAATATAATGTTCATCGTTATTAAGAAACATATAAATGAAAATTTTATGTAAAGATAAATTTTAAGTTAGTAACTGTTTTACATTATTTCCATAATTTTTAACAGTATTCCTTCAATTTTTGAAAATCCAAACAGAACAATATTGAATAAACATTTCTTCTTTTTTGTTTTTTGAAGTTTTATATTATGAGAAGAGTATTTTGTAACATAATTTAAGTAAAAAAATTATTGGATTTATTAATAAGTTTATGAAAAAAATAAAATTTACCTTATTTTATGAAAACTTCAGGAAATAATCTATATATGTTTAAATTAAATTTTGAGTTCATACTTATTACTTGATTCCTAAGTGAAAGGACTCATCCAGCTCAAAATAGGGGGGGAAATTTTCTAAATTTAATTTTTTTTCGTGTAAAATGAGTCATTTTTTTTTTTATTTAATATTTCAAAAACGTTGGAATATTAATTAAAAAACCTGTCTCTATGCTAATCAATTCCTCAGAACATTTTTGGTTTATATTCGTTTCATAATTTTATTTTAAATATTGTACATATTGGAAGGGGGGGAGGGGGGTCAGCACATCTTGATCCCCCTTATCCTAGTGTTTAATAATTTAAAATACTTTTTGCTTCCTTTCACCTTTTTATTAATCTACCTTTCACTAAAAATACTGAATCTATTTAAATAACGATTCAAATCCAAATAAGTGTTACCAAAGGGACTTTCCCTTTTACTGTAACTATTAATGATTATATTGTAAAAATACTATTATCCTAACTATAAATCACATAGAAAGTAATTTAAAAGTAGATATATTATGATGTCATTAATTTTACATAAGACCTAACTTGAAATTTTGTTTTATTAAATTCTTCAAAGCCCAATAAATCTTTCTATTTGGTTAATTCATAGAAACTCATTTCTTAATAAGTTGTTAAATATGTTGCATCAGTCCTTGAGGATGCGAGTTGAAAACAAAATTGTTGGAACTTACCTCCTAAAAAATTCTATATTTTCTTTTCTTTCAGACTAAATCAGTTTATTTAAAAAAGTAATGTTTTTTATATGAAATGAGATGCCACTAAATTTTTAAAATAACAAGTAATATGAATCCATTAGCCACTCAGTTGGACCTGATCACAGGCGGGTCTATGAGGGAAGGAGGAGGGGATTTCAGGTTAAAGTCCCCCCCCCCAAAAAAAAAATGGTAAAATATTATGTCTTATAGTAAAAAATAATCTCTTAAACACCATTTCGTAGAGGCAGTTAGGTTTTTCTTTTTTTTCCATAGTAATTATACATATAATAAAAAAAAACTTTCGAGCTTAAGCCCAACCCAAAATGAAATCCTGGACCAGATCATGACCTGTCATATACAGCACAGTTTCTTTAAATCCATGAAATGTCATTAGTACCACTTATGTTTGTCTATCCAGATGTGCGTCTTTGATGATATATTTGAATTATTAAAATGTGATAGCTTACAGAAATATTAACATATTATCAATTAACTCTTGACTTTAGTGCAACATTGAATACTTCTAATGAATCCAAAATTAATTTTGAGTAATAAATGATTGTTTGTCGTATAATATAATAGGAATTATATGAAAATATTAAATTAATATATTTATAGTTTATTGTTCTTAATATTTGAATGTACTTTCTATTCACATTGTTTATAATTTTTATCTAAATATCATGTAACTCCCACAATTTTCTATATGCTTTTTTATCTTGTTCCTTCTAGTGCTGTAGAAACCTGCATAATTGGGTTGAAACATTGTTTTAAAATATAATAGTTTTTCATTATTTCAAGTTTTTTTTTTGTTTTGTTTTTTATCACCACCCCAGACCACCTCCTGAAAAATTAATTTTGTGCTGGGACTAAAGTCCCTTATAAATAAAAATATTACTCAAATGAGAAAATTTGTCTGAATAAATATTTATAAAAGGTATTTACTTTTCATATATCTGTCAGAAGTACCTGTTATTGACATAAATATTGTTTACATAGATATACTGATTTGATTATGAAACAGAGAAAAGAATAAGTGTTCTTTAAAGAAAAAATTCTAGGGAAATATAGACAAATAGAAATGCTTTGACAATTATAAAAACCAAGGGTTGAAACTTCTATGGAATTGTTTTGTAAACAAGTTTTAAAATAAAACTTCTAAATAACTGGTTTATAACAGACATTGACGAAAAGTATTTTCTTTTTCTAAAATAGAATTTTAATCACCTAGTATTTCAATTAATACTTACTTTTAAATTTCAAATATGAAATACATTTTTTAAATTATTTAAATATTTGCTGATTGAAATTGAATTTTAGAACCACAAAATAATTGTTAGTTTAAACAAAGTATTTTAAAATAAATATTGTCCAAGTATGGTTTGTAATATGTTTTGTGTAAAAGTCCAACTTTATTTATGTACTTAAAAAAAGTTTTATTAAAATGAGAAATAAGCAGTTTTAATTGGGCTTGTACACATATAACTATCTTGAATGAATTGGCTGATACTCTTTGAAGAGTCAATTGCACAATTATAATTTTTTAACTTAATAGATGGGTAAATAGTTGAATGATCAATGATAAGGATAAAACAAGATTTTCAGTTGAACTTTCTTTAATGGATTAGCCGATGTTTCGATCCAAAGATGTGGGTCATCATCAGGGCTATCGTTTAAGAGTCGAGACAAGAACTGTGACTCAAAAGTTCTTCCTCTGATGTTTGAAATGAAATGAAAAATAATTTTTCATTTATAAAAATATATAAACATTTATTTAAAAATAATTACAAATATATTAAAAAAAACACAAAGAAAAATATAAATATCTACAAAAAATACTATGGAAAAACACAAATATATACAATAAATACCGATATAAAAAAAAGTGAATAAATAAAAAATAAAATGACTTCTATCAATTAACTGCTGGTGACCAACGTAATTATATAACCCAGAGATTTTTACAAGCTTGCGGAAGTTTGAATTTGTAATATGTGGTGGAATAGGAGATGTTTGAAGAAGTTTATGGATGTATGGAGATGAGTAAGGAGTTTCCAGAAGGGATTTGGGTCGAAACATCGGCTAACCCATTAAACAAATTTCATTAACAGACCTTTTAAGTAAAAGTTATTTTTTTACCACACCAAAATAACATAAACACAATAAAAAATAAAAGTTAACTTATTATTTTGTTTCAAGCCGTGCTAAAAACAGGTAGCACAAACGACTTAAGTTGTGTAAAATTAAATTATTCTACAAAAGAATTTTGCCGATTTATGGAAAAATGTCATTTAATGACATAACCTGAAGTCATAATTGTGGGTAAATGGTTGACTGTCGTGAATGATGAAGAGAAGAATAGTTGGGGTGATCAGTCAAATAAGAAGGCAAAAATAAATGATAATATTCATTTTGACACTGGCCGACGTTTCGACCTGAAGTTCAAGCCTTCATCAGGGCTAAGAAAAGAACCAGATAACAAGGTATGATAAACATAAGTAGTGTAGGTAAAAAACAAAATAAAAGTATAGTGATAATAGTAAGAACTAAGAGATAAATAATAATAACCGTTACAAAGTGTGGAATGATGACATAATAATCCCATTTTAATACTTATGTCACCTTTTTCGATTATGTTTACTTCATCATTCCACACTTTGTAACGGTTATTATTATTTATCTCTTAGTTCTTACTATTGTCATTATTCTAACAACTTCATTTTACTTTAATTTTTTTTTTACCTACACTACTTATGTTTCTCATACCTTGTTATCTGGTTCTTTTCTTAGCCCTGATGAAGACCTGAACTTCAGGTCGAAACGTCGGCCAATGTCAAAATAAATATTATCATTTATTTTTGCCTTCTTATTTGACTGATCACCACAACTATTCTTCTCTTCATAACCTGAAATCATTAAGAATTATGAATTTTCTCTTTGTGAAATCAGAAAATTGAACACTTGTAAATATATTTGATATATAAAACAGTGTCATTTTAATGCATTGTTTTTTTTTTATAGATAAGGTCAAAATTCACTAAAATAATCTTAAAAGTTCAGCTGCATCAACAATGTACAAAGTTTTCGTAATAAATCGACAACATAAAAAAATTTACAGGTTACTATCTTATCACTCTGAAACAGCCATCTTGAAACATTTCTGATATTATACAGAGAGTCACAGTTCTTATTGACCAAACTCTGGAGAGTGGTGATTCTAGAAAACATTTCCAACAAAAACGTTCATTTGATACGTAAATCAATGACGAACAGAAAAAGTATTAAGACCAATTTTGTGTTTTTCTTAAGGTAGTAACAGTTTTGATTGTATAAGACAAAATTGCACAAAAACTGTTCAAGATAATTAAATTATAAGTTCACTATCATATAGTAGTAATAATAATAATGTTTTATTTATTCTGGG